AAGCTCGGTAAATCAGTGTAGTAGTTAACTTCACTAAAAAATGCATTTCGTTGGAGTTTTGTACTTCTTACTTGAATTTCTATTTTCCACTTCAAAATCTACTCCATTTTACGACACATTATTTTTTAGTGTGCGCTCGGTAATAAAAAAAAATGTTTATAATCACGAATTGTAGATTTCTTTTAATTTAACAACAATGTCATAGTGCAAACCTTCTTCAAGATAAGATACATGAGTAGCTTCTGTTTAACCTCATAAAACAAAAACAAAAAAATTTTTAATTTTAATTTTTATTAAATAAAGATGAATCTAAAAACAGCTGCTGTTACTATCTTATCAATTCTAAAACTTCTACTCCTGAACAGATATAATGTTTCAAAGATAACACATTTTTTTTATTCATTCTAATCGTGAAACGTTTTTTATTTTTCACCCTCACCACTGGTCTGACATCAATATATATGTACAAATGCAAAAGAAAACATGACAATTAGGTTCAGTTACTGTCAAACTTTGTGATAATATTGCTTTTCTCATTTCGACATTAAAATACCGTTCTCTATAGACCACACATAAAAACTTTTCTTATCTTCTTTTGTCATTTTCTTTTTTCTAATAGTGATATATATTAATATTGACTGATAGATAGACTATTAATATGATTGTGATGAAATTATCGTAAATAATTACAGATAATATTCAACTTGAGAAAAATATTTTTCGACAATGATTAATGATGGTTAGACACCTTGATATGAGAGCATCGAAAGTCATCAAATTCAGAATAAAAGCTAGGAGTTGTGTATTTGAAGAAAGGTGAAAGAAATGATCACACGAACCATATAAATGTCTTGATTGATCTTATCGTACTTGAGTTCGATTGCACTCTTTTAAATTTATAGCGATTTTGACTAGGGGGAGAAAGGAGGATCGATCTTTTTTCTAATACCTTTATAATCCCTTTATGATACCATATGATTCCTTTATAATCTCTTTATAATGCTTTATGATACCATGATCATAAAAAAGCGTTTTTTTCCCTTGGCATTATACCCTTTCTTTACTCGCTCTTCTTTACTCTTCTTTACTCGCTTCATTCTTTCCGTTTCTTATCTAAATCGTCATCGTGAAGAGAAAAGATGATTACAACGGCAGGCAGGCAACACTTCGACTGCATGTGGTCACTTGGAGATCGCAGCAGGTGATGACTATTTGTGTCCTACTATTTGCTAGCCCACCCTTCACGCTGTCTGTCTCATCGTTTCTATCAATAGCAAATACAGTGCTGGTGCCAACAATATACACGACTATAATAAACCATCGATCTGTTCGATAGCTCAAGCAAACAATGTGATCAATTTTCTCTCCCAAACTTCTTTTATTGTTACCTTTCCAACTGAAAACAAAAAGCCAAGTACTAGTATTTTATGTTGTGCACTCATTTCAGACATGCTTTTTTGGACCTTCGTCCTAATAATAGCAACAGGCAGTGCGTTGGTCGATGGAGCAACGAATAACACATGTTCTTCGCGCCCTGAAACGCAAAAGAATACAACAAAGATTCTAGCTGATCTTCGTCGAGAGATGCAGGATGCCGGCATTGGGATCTATGTTATCTTTGCTGGTGATGAACTCGGAATTGCATATGCGCACCCATTCGATAAACGACGCGATTGGCTCTCGGGATTTCGTGGTTCAGCGGGTACGGCTGTTGTTTCAGAGGAAACAGCAGCCTTATGGGCGGACAGTCGCTATTTTATACAAGCTGAAGAAGAACTTGATTGTGCCAATTGGCTTTTGATGAGAGAAGGAGAACCGGATGTACCAACTCTCATTGATTGGCTTGTGGTCGAAGCGAACAGAACGACACTGGTAAGATGCTATCGTACTAGAAGTAAGCAGCCCCGCATGCAATCAGTATGCCCTGCCTGATCTCCTATGAACTTTCACGCATTGTTCAAAATATCTTTGCGTATTCGAATACGCTCAAGAAACCATTTTAAAATAGCGTTTGTTGTGATTGAGTGTTGCGCAGTGTAATGGGAGGTGAAAAGATAACCAAAACGTATTCCTGTTGAAATGTGTTCGAATTGGCAAAGATACCGAAAGGTCATCAGTAGACAATATTAATTCAGTTAAAAGATGTTTTTAGTAGAACTTTCTATCTGGGATTTCTGAGCAACTTCTTCTATTGTATGCAACTGCAATACCATGCGTTTCTTTTGTTAGCCACCAGGTGCTACACCTGAACTCAGTAGTAACTCTTGGTGGTCATCGGCCAATGCTGCATTGAACGCAGCGGGAAAACAACTTAACGTCGTCGGTGACCTTGTTGGTCAAATCTGGCCACCAAGCGAACGACCGCCAGCATCCCAAAAGCCCATTGTTGTTCATGACATTATATATTCAGGCGAGACCGTCACTCAAAAACTGAGTAGAACAGCTGCTGAGCTCAAACGGCTGGGTGTGACTACCACTGTCTTAAGTGCTCTAGAGGAAATTGCATGGTTGTTCAATTTGCGCGGTGATGACATTCCTTTCAATCCATTTTTTAAATCATACGCTATTGTACATGAGAATTTTCTCGTCGATCAGCCGGAACTTTTTGTCAATTTGTCGCAGTTGAGCCCTCTTGATCGTCCGGATGGTGTTCGTGTATTAGAATACGCTACATTTTGGTCACGTTTGAATGCCACAGCCACAAATGCCAGTATCGGCAAAATTTGGGTTAGTCCTCGAGTATCTCAAGCCGTACTAAGTCGGATTCCAAACGGTAAACTCTTGCTACCATTGACAAATTCACCGGTACAACGCGTAAAAGCACGCAAGAATGCAGTTGAACGAGCTGGAATGCGAGCGTGCCAAACGCGTGATGCTGTCGCTCGCATGAAACATCTTGGCTGGCTTGAACAACAATTGACGAATGGCGTACCTGTCAATGAGACGGAATCGGCCGAACAACTGTTTCTCTATCAAAGTGACCAAGAACATTTTAAATCGCGAAGTTTCAACACTATTTCAGCATCGGGCGATCGAGCAGCCATTGTCCATTATATGCCTGTGGCCACTACTGCTCGACGTATCACCAGAGACAAGATCTATTTGCTCGATGTAAGATAAATGTGTGATCTTGACCGAGATTGAAAACTTTGTTTTGCCTATTCACATAGGCTGGTAGTCAATATCTTGATTGCACAACAGACATAACACGCACGCATCATTTTGGCACCCCGACCAGTTTAGAAAAGCGTGCGTATACGCGTGTCCTCCAAGGTGTGCTCAACCTTGCCGAGGCCGTCTTCCCAACGGGCACATATGGCCGATCACTCGATCATCTGGCGCGAATGTCATTGTACAGAGATGGAATGATCTATGGACATGTCACAGGGTTTGTTTTCGATTTTTATCTTATGTGCAACTCTGAGACAACATGAATTTGAAGACCTTTCCATAGTTCTATTGACAGAAGAGTCTTCAAATGATTTTTATTCTTACGCTGACGGCAGCACATTTAGAAGACATTGATCCTTTGCCTTTTCCATTTCTATCTTGCTAGTAAGATTTGTAATTTTCTCTTTTTATAATCTGCAGACATGGCATCGGTCACTATTTGCGTGCAAGTGAAGGTCCACAAAATATTGCATTTCAATACAATCAAAACGAAGAACCCTTAGCCGATGGAATGTTCGTCTCGGACGAGCCGGGTTTCTACAAAACAGGCGATTTCGGTATTCGTATTGAGAATGATGTGGAAGTAATAATGACTAATAAGAGCACCTTTGACAATCGACAATTTCTGCGTTTTGATACCATTACATTCTTGCCCTATGAACGCTTACTTATCGATGTTGATCTGTTGACACGCGATCAATACAATGCCATCAATCAGTATCACGCTAAAGTGGCCAGTGTTTTGGAGCCGTTGCTTATAGGTGATGAACAAGCGTTGCGTGCACTACGTTCTCGCACGGCAAACTTGGATTTTGAATCATCCTCGACAGGTCCAGCTACAGCCTCCGTCACAGGTTCGATTAACACTACAGCCCCGACAACCACCTCGATGTCACCCGAAAGCAAAGCGTCCACCATCATGGAAGCATCGTGTGTGGTGAACGTTGTTCTTGTTTTAATTATTACTCTTTTTTCAGGTATTCCATACATAAAAAGATAGACATTTTTTCCCAAATAAAATATTTTACTATGAACAGTTCTAATTGTCCAAAGTGTCAGGTAAAATCAGAAGCGAGCAAAGTTTAACTGAAAGCTCTTCAGAATTAACGATTTTCACTACCTCTAAAGGCTCATAAATATAAAAGCATATTTGCTCCCGGTTACGTATCGACACAAAAACATACACGAATAACGAAAGCATAATCACAATTATACATAACTGATTTCGGGAGAAACCAAATGGTGGACGCACAGACATATATGCCCGAAATGATGCACCAGAAGCTTCATTAAATCTCAATTAAATATTGGAGTGCTCTATCAAAGCTACATGGTAGTACACGGAAGATTTGCTCATATGTGGAGCAGCAAAGGGTTAACATTTTGAAAACGGAAGAAACATATTCTATCAATGAAGTTCTAGTTGGAACATTGTGAATGAATTAAGAGATAGTACATAAACCACACTATAGAAGCCAAACCGTCACAAAAAATTCCTAATGCTGAAAATAATCTTTCGATGCCCAGTCCAAAGCTAAGGTGACAAAATTCACTGTAGACACTGGGAACTGGAAATGACAGATTGAAAGGATTAAAGAAAGTCATAGAAAAATATCAAAAGAACATCGTTTATGTATTTTGATTACATTTTGTCCATTATTTCCGACCAATATCTCGTTTGAAAGAGCACCAAAAATTGATTGTGCATAAGATAGACTGGCTTCTAAAGGATAGGAAAGATTTCGAGTGTGCAAAGCAAGTTTGGCACAAAGCATAACGTTAGTAGCCAACGATTTCGCACTCGTACTCGACTCCAAAGAATTCGCATCTGCAGCCAAAATCGGCGGAAAATGTAAGCCAATTGTTATTATAAGCGTGGATGGTGAAAAAATACTGAACTTTTTATAAGAATTCTGGAAGCTTTATCTCTGTTTTTATAGCAGGATTCGATGAGAACCCTCGTTATCCGAAGACATTGGCTGGCGATGCATGATTGTTCAAGAAACATAATCTCGATTGTTTATTCGCGGCTACAAACTGTCCAGGTCGATCGGCTTTCAATATGGTCGAACGAAGAATGGCACCCCTTTCAAATCAACTAGCCGGTAAACGGATAAATTTCTTAATGCTTACCCTTTGCGCTGATTTCTGTATAGGATTGATTCTTCCTCACGAATACTACGGAACCCATCCGGGCGATAACGGAAATACAGTCAATGAAAAATTAGAAATGCAAAATTTTCAACGAATCATTTATAATCATGTGTGGCATTTTAAGAAAGAACAAGCTTTATCATGCAAATCAGATCGGTTTTCTTCGAGATCAGTCAACAATATCTCAGCTAATACGAGTAGTTCATCAGATAGCAATATCATTTGATCAAGGGGTACCTGTTTTCACGACGTACGATCTTTGAAAATAAAAAAAATTTCGTTAGACTACGTTAAACAACAAAAAAATTTAGGTCTCATTTTTACTCAGAAATTAGATTGGGGGCCGCATGTTAACAATTTAGTTAGTTCGGCAGGAAAGCTAGTAGGATTAATCAAATTTCTAAGTAGATCGTTGTCATTTACGGGACTTTCTTTAGTTTATAATGCCTTTATTCTTGGGAAGTCAACTATACAAGTGTCATTTATTCGGGCACAACTGAGTCAAATTTTAAAAAATGTAACACCTTAGAATATGAGGCTGGACGCGCGATCCGAGGAGCGATGAAAGGGACCTCATACGACAAAGTTTGCTCTGAACTCGGGTGGGCTCCCTTTTACGTGAAAAAGATGAGAATTCAAATACTGTGAGATATGACATGTTCGATGTTTATCGACTATGCCTTTTCTACAAAGTGATAAGAGAACAAGTACCGCTTAGAGATTTATTACCGCAACAGATGCCTGTAAGTTATCCATTGCGCAGCCAAGCACGAGGACTGCTATCCTCTTATCATGGTGGTCTGCTTGTACTCAGGAATAGTTTTATACCATCTACCATTCAATTATGGAACAACTTATCAATCAACTTATCCATGCACAGCAATATAATGGTTCGCCGATTTGGTGTGCATCTGAAGCGAAGCTGACTAATATTCATTCCTACTTTTTTTTGTTTTATTCTATTTTCTCTCTGTTCTTCTTTTTTTTTCGAAGAGATATATAAAGTTTAAACTAACTTACACAATCGATGTAAAAAATTCGAAAAACTCGACAGCGTTTAAATTTAAAATGAAACAACATTTTTTATAGATATTGAATCTTCCACCTGTGACTAAAAGAATTTTGGAAATAGACGTTTCACGCTTTCGATTGGGTTCCACACAATTGAATGAGAATTTCGCTAAAAGACATGTAGTGGCTATCCCCGAGTGCGGATATAAAATAGAATCATCATCTCACTTTTTCTTTTTTTGTGCAAAGTATATTGCACAACGTTCAGAACTATTAAAAACGTTTCAGTCAATACTTCAAATAACCGACGTAACAATAGATCATTTACTTTTTAAAAACAATGACATGCTCTCGCTCGAAAAAGATAAAATCAAAATCCTATATGTTTCTGTTTTAAAATTTTTGAAAGATACAGAACGCTTTCGCCGGATCCAGTGATGTGCGACCCTTCTTTTCCCGCCAAAGTAGAACTGTACTTCCCAGCAGATTCCTGAAGACTTCTGAAAAAAGAGAAAAAACGTTTCCGTTTTGATAGTAAAATAAATTCTTTTCCAACTCTGCAACACTTTTGCTTATTTCTTTCTCTTCTCTTTTTTTTGTTTACGTATTGTTCTTTTTTCTTGTTGTTATTATTGTCACATTTGTTCAACTTCATCAACATGTAATGAGCCAGCTCGATTTGTTGGAAAATAAAAAAGTTTAGATTATGACACGCATGGATATGCTCGTCGAATTCCAACGCTTGGATTGCCATGCATATTAACATTTGGTATTTAACTTTCAGGCGTTAATATGCATGGAAATAGGATATCATGGTTAACATTCATGGGAGTCCACGCGATGGAATTCTACGAGCATATCCAAGAACGGGCTCTTATCGATTAGCAACGCACTCAATGATAGCTCACTTGTATTGAGAACGAATGCGTTCTGGTTTCTGTAGAACGCGCTCTTAGTCGATAAAAACGCGTTCAATTTTTTCGAAAACCTCTTCTTGACCATTCTTTTTTAAACTTGTTTTTCGTGGATAGGATCAAGATAAATCGCCACTTACCTTTTCAGCATAGAAATTTCAAAATGAAAGATTCGAGATAAAATCAGGAGAAACACGATTGATAGATTTGCAAAATTCGGTATCGCCAACGGAGTAATTCAGTCTTATGCATCTCCAGAACGAATATGTTGTATGTGATCAGGCTCTGGACCACATGTATACATCCATTTTCACATGAGAAACCTGAAAATCACATTGGTGAGATCGAAAAGTGAAATGGCGAGGAGAAAAACGCAGTTTTCTCAAAGCTAAGGTTTTTGACGATTTTGAGAGCTTCTCAGTATTTTGCGTTTTTCTCCGTGAAAACTTTGTCAAATTGAAACAGTCAGGTAATATGCGTGATCAGCAGCTTATTCTAAATCCTAAATGTATGTTTAAGCTAAAAATAGAGTGTGGTGAAACTTTGAATTACCGGCGCCTTACTAATTTCGTACGAATTATTAATTATTACCAAAGATGAGAACAGGTTTATCGACTCATCATCTTGGCTTTTTATCGATTTGAATTAACTTTCATTACAATAAAATTAGTTCAGTCAAACTAGGAAAGTCGATTGAGGATCTATAGGATTGTATTTTTTTTTGATTTAAGTCTAGAGTTCATTTTTGCAACGAGTTACAATACATTTATATTGCTATTCTTTTTAGAAAAAGTTAAAAACTTTGTTAGAGAATAATGCTTTCTTTGAGAGCCCTATTCGAATGGCACAGAAACTGCATAAAAAAGGATTCAGTTTCGACGTGATCATCGACATGAGCGAGATGACAAATCATAGCAATGGAGAAAAAATCGTCAAGTGTCACACTCCCTCCATCAGCCCCGCTGAGCTCCGAGATATATTTGACTTATTTCATCCGCAGTATGTTGATGGTATCAGATCTCCATAGCCCGAAAGGCAGAAATTTATCTCCCTTTGAAAAGTTCCTAGTCAGAAGCACATACCGACAGTGGCAAATGTCACAAAGAAGAGCCACATCGCATCGGACATTGACATGTGTTCTCCGGTGGGTTTAAAATCACATGCACGTAAAGCTCCAACTTCCAACGAAAAAAGCAACTATGCAAAATACCACAATGCAACGCGTCGGCCATTGCTCTGCATAGGTTTTGACGACAAAGCCAAAATTCATTGTGATTTGATTGAGATAACCGAGTGATTGTGATAATGTATCTTGAACCAAATGCGAATGAAACACGATGTAACGACAAAGCAGATAGAGTCGAAGAAACACTATTGATACACAGAAACCAACTGATGGAAACAGAACATCCACACTTACTCGGCAAACCAAGCGCCACATCGAGGGGTATGTAATACAAGGAGGATGGCGCTGGTGTTGAATTTGAATCCGTTGTCTGATCTTCTGAACTACGTTGGACTGGAAAATGCCGAGGGAACGGATGAATGGTACAGAAAAACAGTTCCAGTGCGATCAGAACTGTTTTGTTAAATGACAATACTACACGCCAGTCTTCGATCCCATTATTGACAGCATAAAGACTTAAATCCAAATAATGATAAAAAATGATAAGACCGAGAAGAACCGCGGTCGAAATTGTGATTATCAATTTGATGGACCAACTTGCTAGTGTGTCTCTTCGATTGACACTATGAAAGATTAGTTCATTTTCTATAACCATGAGCACAATACCCAAAAGACCAACAAAACACATAACATCGCTCACTCGACAACTAGAACGGAGAATAAATATACGAAAAAGCAATGAAAACAAAAAAGATCTCACCATCGCCGACGCAATTCTTTTCGCCTGGTCAGTCGGCGACTTACAATAGCCATTAAAGTGTCGTCAGCACTTCTGACTTCGTTAGTCGACTTTCCATGAAGTTCAATTTCACTACCTGTCACGTTACTCGTCTTTGATAATCGACGAGAAGGGGTATGTGACCGCGAGCTGGCAGTCAGAATACGTGACCGTGAGCTGGCAGTCCGAATGATCGTAGACACTGGTGGCACTTGACTGCGCGGTTCAGTGTCTTCGGCAGATAGTCAGACGCCGCCAGATTGAGGACTATCAATCAACGTGAGATGAATGTCGCCGGTATCCATACCATTCATCCTGTATTATGTCAATATGTGCTCTCTAAAAACACAGTGCTGGATAGAACCTTTTAAGGTTCGAGCCAAAACATGGTTGTGTCTCACACCTTTTCTTTTTCTTTCGGGTAAAGGTTCTAACCACAAATGTTTCAGTATCATTCAAGTGGTTCGATACCGAATCTTTGCAAAAGAAGGGTTGTGTACAGGACCTCTCTCAACAAGAAGGTTCCCTATGGATCCCTTTTTTGTCGCATACCGCGTTTCTATTCGTACAGTATTCTACTGTTATATTCACTTATTTATACACCAGATACCAGGCATACACACCAAACAAAAAGCGTCGTTTTACTAAGCCCCTCTTGGGTTTAGCAAAATGCAATGACTCGCTACCGCTTCAAAAGTTTAGTAAAAAACCCTTTTATGGTTTAGTAGCCTACTAAACCTGAAAGCGGTAGCGTGTCACTGCATTTTGCTAACCCTCTCAAAAAGAATTTAGTTACGTTTTATCCGTTCAGAAACTGATCGATGAAATTAGCATTTTTATTGGCAAAATACATGAGCTGTGTTCGATGTATCACTCTGGGTGCAAAAGCATAATAAAACTTTGTCTTTTTTAAGAAGATGCGCCATTTGATACTCTAGAAAAAATAAGGTGTACCTCATGAATAAGAGAATATGGAGGAAATATTATGAACTTGCAATCTTCAGAGGCGC